TCCACAAACATTTTTTCGACATTTTTTGTTCACTTTTTTTCTTTTTTGCATGCTCCTCCAGCGAGAAAACAACGAGGCCTTTTTTTTAAACGTAGAAGTGAACTCGTGAGCAGCACTAGCATGAATCGACTTGTTCGGAGGCTCATTTGATCAGGATTTTTCTGGCGGAACACCCGAAGTTTCTGGTCCTTTGAAATCTTCCTCAACTTACTGATTTTTGAAAGTTGCAAAATTTAACGCTCTTCTGGAGAACATGTGGAATAGAATGGAATTAGGAGCAAAAAGTTGTGCGAGGATCTGGTTTGAGCAGTTGATTTAGTAATACTGGTTTTTTGTGTGTCCTCTGGAAAACTCTGCTGGATTTTAAGACCTCAAAGTTGTGCAATTGTCAGCCTATGTGGATAAACTTTCCCATCGAATGAGTGTAGAAAAGGGATCACAACATTAGTCTGAGACCTGAAAGTCAAAAAGACGTAAAAACCGTCTTTCTTACTTCATTCACTCCCAAAAAAACATTGCACAGTTGCCTGTTGTCTCTTGTTTTTATCCCCCTACATGCTCTCGGTTGTAGAGATTTTTGTTAAACTTCGGAAGGAAAAACACTATGCGATTGGTGGGCAAGTGCTAAGTATCAAAGTTACTTGTTGCATACTTGAACTTTTCAGTGGAAAAAGTTGCACGGTGCAGTTTTCAACCATTTCGCCAGTGTCAGTAGTTTCACAAGAAAAGGATGCACAGTAGAAGCGACAATCCGAAGAGAAAGGCAAGATGGTAGCTGCAGCTTGAATGCTGCTGCAAATCTGTCTTTCATATTTACATTTTTCACAACACATTGGTGGTGTTTTTGACACAATAGTCTTGAAAAGTCGGGAAAACTCAAAGGGACAAAGCTTTCGTCATTACGAGAAATAGTTTTCCAAAACAAACCATTCAGAATTGGGTTTTGGATCGTTACCGCCTACTACCAAAATACTTGCGGCTTTTGAATTTTGTTTTAAACATCAGATTGTTTTAGACTTGTTTCAATTATCGACACATCAAACGAAAAGAGCTATGTCCTTCAAAGAATTTGCCACCTTTAGCTTGAGTGACGGTGTAGCTCAGCAGACGGCAGGCCGTTGAGCGTTACTAGTTCTACCTAAGTCAGACAGATAAGTTAATAGTCTCCCCTTCACATCCAGGCAAGTTGCACATTGAGCAAATGCATGGCCTAAAATTGAAGGGGCATCTCTAAAAGCCAGCGTGAGCCTGTATGCAACGACAACGTTGAGCAAGATTCGTATTTCACAGGTGTAAATCAAGTCTCAAATGCATTCTATACAGTGGACTAAAACTACGGCACCGTGTACTGATCAAGTATTTGGAAGGAATGCCGCAAACTCAGTTGTAAGTTCAGATGTTACAAAGTGCCCTGAAGTCCATAACTAGCATCTCCGTTATAAACAAAGTGAAGCTTGGATAATCGCTTCATTCAATAATAATCACTTCTTAATTAGGAAGGAGAAGTGAGTTAGAGCAGAAAATGCCCAAGCAGTGTGATGCTAGAAGTTTAAATTAAAAAATATATTTGCTTTCTCATATGTATGAGTTATTTCTAGTAAAATGTAAACATTGCAGTGGGTATCACTGTTGATGAATAAGACTATTTTCTTATGTGGCATCAAAAAAACCCCTTAAAGCATCACTGTTATTTGAGTCAGGTACATTGACCATACGAAGTTTTTGTATCTGGCCGTGCAGCCCATATGACTAGCGATCCACTTCCTAGCTGCCCGTATAATCTCTAGTCATATATATTCGAAGATTATTACTTGGGATCACAAATAAAATCTTAGCACAGCGAGCTGCGTAGATTTGGGCTCACACTATTTATTTTTGAAATCTGCGTTTGAAGTAATGCCTCGTTTGTTAGATTGGCAGGCTTGTTTCGGGAACTAACCATCTTTGCCCTGCTTTCTTTCGACACTGTTCATTCTTGACAAAGGGGGCATATCACGTTCTGTAACTCATCCAGCTTGTATCCAATTAATCTTCTTCTCTATTTCTGAACTCGATACCAATTATTAGATATTATCAGATATTGCTGACTTTATAAAAGTAGAAGAAGGGAGGATTGTGACTGTCTGACCAAAATTCTCTTAGTGATGCGTTATCAATTTCGCATTTTTTTTCGCACAGCAAAAGGAGACAGAATGAGTTTTGTCCGGTAATGAGTTTATGCTTGTGAGCTCCATCCAACAAAGGA